CGAGCAGAAGTGCAGTCGATTTGCTCCTACGCTTTCACTGATCTCTGAACCTACAGATCCCAGGTTTCTCGTAAAGTCACTCCAAACAGTGTCAATTAAACATTTCCTCTCCGAACGGAAAATCTTAAAGCTATCCACGTACACCAGAACTGATTTGTGCTTGCTCAGGTGAACAAAACCTGCCTGTTAGGAAGAAAGTTCGTTAGAGGGGGCTTCGATTGGGACCTTTTGCAGCCTGACTGCTGAAATCCGAAACACAGTCTTTATTTTCAAGGATTAAAATAGTGATACTCCACATAACACCACCTCCCCACCCCCCCCCCCCAAAAAACAAAACAAACAAACAAACAAAAAAACACGAAAAAAGCTAGCAAAACCTCAAAACACCCCACCAACAAAAGAACCAAAAAAAAAAAAAAAAAAAGAAAATCCAACATTCCCCAAAACTCAACTTCTTTCAATGTTCTTTGAGAAGCAATGCACTTCTTGCTGGCAATATGAATATTTCACATGATTCTTCTCACAAACAGGATGTCTGGAAAATTATTACTCAGCCAAGCTAGGTTTTGGATTGTAACTTGCAAATCGCCGCATTCCACTGGAGAGAGATATGGAGCGAGTCGCAGAGTGTCTTTTTACACCTTTTTTTTTTTGCTTCTGCACACCAGTGGCAGGACCGAGTGGCTGATTTCTCAGAGGGTCTCCCTGGAGCCTACGCCCATCTCATGCAATAAAATCTCCGTGTCTGAGCACGAAATGAGCTCCTAGGTAAAGCCTCAGCAAAGAAAACAAGGCTTGTGGAAATGCTGAACCATTGTAGCACCTGTTTTTCAAGACAGACAGTTCTCTTCGTGTTTCACACCCCCTCCCCCCCTCCCCGCCGGCGGCTATTGGGGTGCTTGATCCCATTCAAGAAAACATGTACACTTCCCTTTTCCCCCTGTAACCATCCCTCAGCCGCCCCTCGCTGCGGGGCCAGCCCTCCCGCGGGAATACCCAGCCCTTATCTTCATAGCTTCACCGTCCGCTTCCCCTGGAGTGTGCGTATGTGGAAGGAATTGAATAATACCCCCAAAATTCGTTTAGCCGAGTCCCAGGTAGCACGAATTTCCTCCCGTTCAATCCTTAAATAAATTTCGTGATTTAACTCTTCTGAAGGGAAGATAAGTGTTAGTGTAAAGAAATTAAAAAATAAAAATCTTCTTTCTGTGCTACCATCCACAGTTAAAAACCGATATTAGAAATGGGGAGGAGGGACGGGAGGGAGTAGGGATTCCTGGACATTTGAAAGGGAGATCAACACCCGTATTACTGCCGTTCTCACTTTATTTAAACAGACGCCAGGGTGTGAGGAGATGCCTTCAACATGCAGTAGCCCTGTTTCGGCTGGAAACTGCCATCACGAGCAGCAGCGACTGCGGAACCAGAAACGGAGGTCCGAACCGCAATCACACACTTCTTTTCCCAAATTCTATGTTCGGCAGGGAGACATTTGAAATGTCTCGGGATCCTCGTTACTACGCTTGGTCTGTAACTTGTGATCTCAGGAAGGGAATGAATTCCAGGACGGCGGGGGTAAGGCAGCCTGCCGTCCCCGCGGGAGAGCCCAGCGGTACCGCGGTGTGCGCACCCGGCTCGTCCCAGTGGACAGGCTTCCCCCAAGGAGCTCCTATGCGCTGCAGGAGCGAGCTCCTTCACACCTCCTCTGGTCACGAAACGTCTCTCCATCACACATAACACCCTTTCACAGAAGGTTTGGGAGATACTCCATCTCTGGAAACACAGCGGCACATCTGCATGCAGCTCTTAATAACGGGGCTGCCTGGCGGAGGGAGTAGGTCCCTGAAGAAAGATGCTTTTCAAAGCTGTCTCACCTCAGCACAGAATTTGTTTTCCCTTTGCCGCCTTCTCCCTCGGGATCTGTCCAACCCCTCTCAAATGGTTTTAGCCCGCTGAAGTCAGCTTTCTGTTTTCAAGCTTTTAAGGAGAACGAATGCCATACGTGGCGCCAATTCTGCCCTAGGTTACATCTCTCCTTCCCTTTGAAGTCCGCTGTGTTGCACAGAGGTAAATGAGAGCAGAATTTGGTCCCTGGAGCTAACAGTGATGTGGAATCACTCTGATTTTTATTTATTTATTTATTGTTTCCTGTTGAGGAAGGACGGATTTTAAGACCCGGTTAGAGCTAGTATCTCGCTCTATATTTAATACTCAGATATTACAAATATATATATATATTCATATATGTAAATTTCGACGCTAATCTCGGGGGGGGGGGGGGGGGGGGGGGGGGGGGGAGACCTTCGCAAAGACGGGGCGATTAGGAAGAGGAGTCCCCGCTGCGGGGAAGATGCTGCAGGAGGGTCGGGTCGTGTTTTCTCAGAGGAGCGGGGGAGAAGAGCGCAGAGGACTCCGCAGCCCGTCCCCATCTCGGTCCCCAGACGAGGCCGGCGATTCCACGGCCCCGCGGGTCAGCAGCCGCCGCCGCCGCCGGGGTGGCCCGATGCTCCCGGGAGGGAAGTGCTGGAAGGGCTGCCGGGGTGCGGAGCAGCTCGGCGGGGAGCGAGGACTGCCGCCGCCGAGGCGGCTCCTCGCCGCCAGCGGGACACGCGCGTCCCCGCGGAGGCGACCGCGCTCCCCTCCCCAGCCTAGAAAGAGCCCTGCTGCTGCTGCTGGCAGCTCTTGGGGGGTTTACGTTCATAGGAGATGCTCCTTGTCCTCCGCTTTCCTGGAGTTTAATAGTTGTCTTTAAAGAGGGACATTTATTGGGATAAAAGTCAATTGCAGTCTGCAAAAACTTTGCATGTGTCTTTCATTTAAAAGACATCCAGAGCTCCATTTTTTCCCTCTCCCGCTCTCTCCCTCTCTCTCCCTCTCTCTGTCTTCCCCCCACTGCTCCCCTCACCCCTTTTTTTTTTTTCCTTTCCCCAAGGCATTTAGTGCTTTTAAGGCACAGTGATAAACACGCTGCCGAAGTGCCAGCACACGGAGATGCGGGGGGCAGGGAGAGGATCCGCAGGGTCCGGAGCGGGCGGTGTTCCAGAAGGTGCAAGGAGGAAACGTGTCCTTTTACACGAGAAATCCGGGGACGGGAACTGCCCTTGGAGCGGCCCCTGGGGCAGGCTCCAGCCTCTCTCGCGGGGCCGGCAGCGGGCCGGGCTCCGCCGCACCTGGCCGCTCCGCGCGGGCGCCGCTCGTCCTCCGCGCCACTTCAATTCCTCTTATCCCCGGTCTTACGGAAACCGCTTCCACTTCTCCCTCCCCGCCAAAGCGACACCCCTACGCCACAAAAAAACCCGTCCCACCCCAAGTCCCCGAGCAGCACCTCAGCGCTCTGTCGCCACGGGGCTCCGCGCCCCCCGCAGCCCCAGCTCGGTGATGGCGGCAGGTAACTCTGGGAACAGGGACGGAGGGGTGGGGGCGGCAGCCCGCTCCTGACAGATCACAGGGAAGGGCAGATTGTGCGTGTGGCGGATGGTGCCCGCAGCTGCTCGCCAGTGGTTGCTGAAAAAAACACCCCCCTACCCCTTTCTCCGGGAAAATACCAAGTTAGAGACCAGCTGAAGAAGGAAGGGAAGCTGCATGCCGGGAGATATGCTGGACCCGAACTGGCCTTCCCTTCACCTTTGACTGGGTTCACAGGAAAGGTCTCTAGGCTGCTCCACAGCCCCGGCCGGCCAGAGTTGCACCGCTACTCCAGCCGCTCATTAAAGCCTCGCTTCTTCTGCCCTCCCCGCCCCAGCGGGGGAAGGGCCCACCGAATTGGGTTCTAAAACAGCCTCAGTAGAAAAGACAAGCGCGGGCCCACTATGCTGAAATCCTCATCTGAAGTGATTGCAACCGGGTTTGCTTTACTTCACAGAGTACTCCTTTCACGAGGAAGCGCGTAATGCGTGCCTCTTCGAAATAGTCCACTCTCGCCTGTGTTTTAAATCTTATCAATGTGCGAAAAGACCAAGGAATTCAACACTTCAAAGCTCACACATTGGGTGGAAACCATCCGCTTCCCCAATATCCATAGGAATGCATGCATATATGACTCATTTCGTTTTCTTTTTATTACCTAAGACTTTAATAAATACTTTCATTTAGTAACAGTATTGTTCTTTAATGATAATATTTTAGGAGATTTAAAATAAAGGTCCGTTTTAACCACTTTGCACAGACGCATACACACCCCCAACCCCAAACACACACACAGAGACAGACTGGTTGAGATCAGTTTCATAGCAGACAAATTCTTTTTAGGCCAGTTTTCTGATGTGAGAGAGTTCTAGTTTTAAGTTTCGCTGGTTTACATTCCCTCTACACAAACAACTGCCTGCAACATTTCTTTCTCTGTTTAACTCTAGGACAAAACTTCTGAGCTGTTTAATAAAGAACTAACACCGGTTCTTAATTTTACAGCTTCAGAGAGCAGGACTGTGGCTACCGACGTATCAGTCAAATCGATTAAAGAAGATCCTTTACTTAAGGGTATGTGTCCCTTAAATTACCTCGCTCTAAGCCTCTCAGGGAGCTGGGGGGAGAGGGAGGGAAGAGAGGGATTACTCTTTCCAGGATCCCTGGAGAAATGAGAATAGGTCGCACAAGGGAAATGTCCTTTTTATTTGTCCTCCCTCCCCTTCCTCCCTCCCTCCCTCCCTTTCTCCCCTCACCCTCCCCAAATGCTTGTGTGTGTCTGTCTGAAACAGATCTGTCTGTGGAAAATGGGCCTGGAACTCCCTCCTGTGTTGGGATTAGGTCTTGGGGGACCTGGGGTGGAGTTAGACTGCTTGCTTATTTTCATATTCATTAGAAATGGGAGGTTGCACAAGAAGTCCTGCTGAGCTTCAAGATATAAGAGCAACTTCGGGTTCCCCTTTCAAGACAAGACAAATCAAAGGCTCAGAGGAAAAACAGCTCTCTAAGCGCTGAACGCCTCTTCCTCCCTCCCTCCCTCCCTCCTTCCTTTCCTCCCATCCACTCACTCTCCCTCCCTTGCTCACAGTCCAGCCTCTGTCTAGGGAAGAGGCTCTCAAGCAGCCTTAGATGATTATGGATTTTCTGAGCGAGAAGTTTGCCCTGAAGAGCCAGCCGAGCAAGAACAGTGACTTTTATATGGGAGCAGGAGGCAGTTTGGAGCACGTTATGGAAACTTTGGACAATGAGTCCTTTTATAGCAAAACGTCAGGCAGCAAATGCGTACAGGCCTTCAACCCTCTGCAAAGAGCTGAGCATCATGTGAGGCTGGAGAGGACATCACCCTGCCAGGACAGCAACGGTGAGTGGTCATCCCAGGGTTCTTCCCCCTCCCGCAGATGTACGGGGGAGGGCAGGGATTCTCCCGCCCAGGGAGACCAAAGGCAGCTGTGCAGCCTTCGGAAGTGGGCATGAGAGGGGCTGTCAGGTCGTAGTAAAATAACAATAACAGTAACAATACTATTGTTATAATACTACTCCCGCTACTATTAAAGAAAAAAAAAAGAATCCGGGAGAAGGCAAACCACTACTTTGAAGAGCACTTTTCCTTTCAGTGCAGCTCTTCAGCTACTGCCTTCCCCACCAGCCCCGGCCCGAGTCCCCGGCTGGCCGAGAACACAGCTCCGGGCACGCCGGCACAGCCCGCCCGCCGCCGGGGCAGCCCGCCCGGGGCACCGACGGGCCGGCGGCTCCCGGAGGGTGCTGCAGGACACGGCAGCCCCCCGTACCTTCCGGCACACCCTGGCCATCCCGGCACCCCCGGCACCCCCTGACCGGCCTCCGGTCGCCCTCCGGCCGCTCCCCGGGCACTCCCGCCCCGCTGCGAGCCGTGCAGTTTCACGCAGCAAACTCCCGGGAAAGAGCATCGCCGGCCGGAGTGTCGGTGTGGCACGGAGCCCGGACACGGCCGGCTCTCCGGTGCCGATCCAGGCAGGGGACGGAAGGCCTCTTGGTCATCTCTGCTTCCTTCAAATATCGTCCTGCGACGGTAGCCGGGTTCTCTGCAGTGTTACCCGCTGATGCGTGAAGGTGATTTTTCCGAAAACCCCGTCGGTCATCCAAAGAACAGTGTTAAACATTTTATCAAGTAATAACATTTTCTAGCTTATAAGCAAGGAGAATGAGGAAGATTTTATTTTTAAAACATATTTTAAAACAGATTTTCTTTTTAAAATCTTCCTCATGATTCCAACATGATGAAAACCGCTACAGAAAAAAATTTAAAAACTATTTCCTAGAAAAATTGAAGAACGTGGTTAAGATCAGCTGCAGTAAGACTAACAATATGATACGCTTTTTGACTTCATAAAATCATTGAAGTATATGTATATTTTTTTTGAGAAAGTTCTTCTATTTGTACGAAAAAAATGGTAAGAAATTGATAAATTTCTTCAAGTGTAATTAAAAAACCAAAAACCTATAGGAAATTGATTTATACATTGAAGTTTCTCTTAATTAGCTAATTTATTGTGTGCCTCGAGGGCTTTGGGGCATTTCCTATCTATGTATGTGTTGATGGTAAGTATCTAAAAATTGTGTTTCATTGCAATCAGCTTGAATTGAAAGAAAAGAAATTACTGAGAATGTGAGACAATCTCAAAGCAAGCTTATTCTGTTACACAGCATGGTTGTAAGTTTTAATTTCTGTAGAGTTTGAATATTTGTTTCCACCTTTTCTTAGAAAATTAAGTGTTTTGGAATTCTTTAACTTACCTCTTTATTTTTCCAGTGATGTGTGATGATAAACAAAAATATTGAAAAGTAGGAAATGTTTTAATTTCTTATTAAGAAGCTACTGTGGAATATTTTTTATCTCTACCGCCCAAGTTTTACCTTAAGTTCCTGCAATCCTTTTACAAAGTACAGGAAACTATCTCTTTTAATGAGTTAACATTTTGCAGAAATGCCCTGTATTTTGTAACCATAACAAACCTCATTGGAAACAATTCTACTTCACAAATGCAAAAGAAGGTATATGGAATTTATTGAATTTAAAAAGAGAATTTAATTTTTTTGTTTCATTTGCTTCTTGATTTGTCAGTTTACAACTATTAAGTTCACTTCACTGTTACTTTGTATTTTCATAGAAATAGAGGGTTTTCACATTTGCTTCCAAGTTTAAAGGCACATTTGTCAACAGCTTTGTGCCTTTTCTGTGAAAATCTGTTTTGGGCTAAGATTCCTTATCTGTACAACTCTAGCTGAGGCTGATTTCATGCATTGTTAACTACTTTAGCAGCAGTAGTAGTAGAGTGAAAATATCCAAGTCTCTTGCACAGTCTCCTTACTCTGTAGGTTTTCAGATGATATTTTCAGATATCATTCTCGGTTAAAATTCAATGTGATTTTGCACTTTTATTCTGTCTGTAGTTAATATTACAAATTCCTCTTCAATGATCTCATCACTGCCACGATGGAATCCGGTTCCTTGTGAAACTGTTTTATATGAACTCCTGAATCTAAACACCTCTTCTTCCCCCTTGATCATTTATTAACCAGCTGTTAACCCACCTTGTACACAGTGAACTACGGGATTACTAAAGTGGAAGGACAGCCTCTTCACACAGAGCTGAGCAGGCCCATGGACAATTGCAACAATCTCAGGATGTCTCCAGTGAAAGGGCTGCAGGAGAAGGGGGACCTGGATGAACTTGGTGATAAGTGTGACAGCAATGTCTCCAGCAGCAAGAAGAGGAGACACAGAACAACTTTCACCAGTTTGCAGCTGGAGGAACTGGAGAAAGTATTCCAAAAAACTCACTACCCCGATGTCTATGTAAGAGAACAGCTAGCTCTGAGAACAGAGCTCACTGAGGCCAGAGTCCAGGTAGGAACCAGATTTTAGCCTTCTATGACAAATTGTGCATTGTAGGAATGAGTAAATTACACTCTCGGGGGTTGTACAAAAGTCCATAAAGATAAAGTAAACTGCTCGTTTTGCTTCATTTCTTTATGGACATGAGCTGCTATGCCGTAGTGCTAAAATGACTTTTTTTTCTTTTTTTTTAATAGCTTGTGTTGCAGTTCTGAACACTTGTTTAAAGCATGAGAAAACAACATCAATAATAAAGCTGTCTTGATCTCTTGTAGTATTCCTGGCAGTGAAAACATAAATTGTTACATGTAAAGATCCCACTAAAGGCTTGTTGCATGTAGCTCAGACTGATGACAATGCAGAACCCAGATGCAGAGAATTCTGTGTGTGTCATGGCATGAAAATTGCAGTCTGAAAAGTAACAAAATTCCTTGTTTCTATCCAAAGACTGTGCAGTGAATCTGCGCATACATAAATATGTATAAGTATCTATATACCTATATAGCTATATTTGCATAGATACGTGTGTGTGTATCTTTTGTGCCTGTATAAAACAAGGACATAATCTATTAATCTTTTCTGTATCGAATGATCTTAGAAATCACAAAATTAGAATGTACAATTTCTGGCTTTTAAACTTTCGTAACTTATTAATAATGTTATTCTAGTTTTTGGAACCAAACATACTGGTGACCACTTAGTACATTATTTGAATATTGTAACTGCGTACAAATGTGATTGATTCAGTATGTGCTCATATAGTAGTCTCAATGATATTTATGGCTTTTAATGTGCAATGGTGAGAAAAGAAGCTAAATATCCAGGAAATGCAGCCTTTCCCTTGTTTAGAGGTCTTCTGTTAGAACAGGGTGTGAGCCACATTTTGCAAGATTATCTTCATTTTAGATATCTTTCCTGTTCTGGCAATAATAATTATTTCAATTTTGAGAATAACATTTCTGTTGATTCTTACAGACTGGGATTAATTTTTTAAATTTAGTGACTTGAATATGATAACAACTTCACAACTTGTAATTAAACACGTACTCACACATGCATGGAGAGAAATAGACATCAGTGCACATGCATGCAAACTGAAATTAAATCAGAAACACTTTCAGAAAAAATCAGCTAATTAATTTTATAAAGAATGTTCTTTTCATGTCTATTCAAGCAGGCATCACGTTTGCCATTGTCATCAGAAAATAGAGTCCAAAATTTTGTGTTCAGTTACATCGATGAGATATCAGCAAAGATGATGGAATTTGGTTCAGTGACTTTTAACTCTTTAGGCTCTGTGCAATTCCTCTCTGGAATTTGGTACAGCTTTCCAAGTATAACTTCCACGCATTGTGATTTAGTCTTGACTTAAAAAAAAGGAAGGTAGCATAATGTTAAAACGCTGTTCTGACAAATGTAGAATACTGGAGCACAGAGAACTACTTCAAGAACAAATTTATAGCTAGAATAGGAAGGGAAAAATTGAACTAAAGCATGTCATCTGACTTTTTATCACATTTTTTTTCTAAGATTTAGAGGCTTCACATGATAAGACCATTAAAAAGAAGACAGTAAATGAAAAATATATGTCTGTATTAGACTTCCACAGGGTATTTATTTCTCTTTTATTTAAACATGTTCTTACCTTTCTTAAAAGATAGCTGATCTTTGCATTCTCATATGCTAAATATGGAAGGACATGTTGATCATTTCTATCCAGAGTAGCAAGAGATTCCATCACAAGATTAAGCAATTTGCAAGGCCTTACGTCATTAAAGGCAAGCATCTGGCAATTCAAGGATAACAAGCAGCAGATTTCTACATTGCTTTGTGGAGGCAAATGGTTACTTTATCTCTGCCAAGAGTAAGTTTCTAGTAAAGTGGTGTAAACAGAAACATTTTGGGGGATTGTCAAAGAAAAAAAAAAAAGTGCCTTTTCTCATTTACTTCTATGAATTCAAGCAAATTGATTTAGTGTAGCAGAGTGATCAGCTGGATACCTTACCCACAGTTCCCTTCACCACCATTTCATCAACATCCAATTTAGTATTTGTCCTGCACCCATGCAGAGAGAGCCAACCTGAACCTAATTTATCTAAGTTGTTCTCTTTCCTGCTGCATGTCAGTCCAGTAATTGGTACCCATTTTAAGAAGATTGTCAAGGTCTTTTTTCAAGGAAAGAACTTCATGACTAAATTTCCGTATCACGTCCTTGATGCCTCTTGTGGAGACAGGAGATTTTTTTTTTGCCTTTCGTTTTCTTTTTGCTGAACCTCAGGCATCATAAATAACACAAATTTACCACCAAGGTTCCTAACAATATATATTCAGGAGTTATATCCATGAGCCTTGCTTTGATTGCTGAATCTTTTAAAAGATGGCACATTTGCCACAAGTCCTTGGAAATCAAAACAAGCAAAATTATGCCCTGGTTACTTAAGCAGTATCAAAAGACACTGGAGTTCTCCAAAGATCAATGCAAGAATGGAGTTATAAACCAAACAGTGTTATTTTAAATATCCCACAATATGGAATCAGAAAATATCCCTCAAAATACAGGAAGTATCTATAAAAAAATCACCATTCATGTATGCGTATATTGAAATGAATTAATGATCAATTTAGCAGGATGGCTAACCAATGCCATTGTTTCCTTTAAAAAAAATAATGGCTCAGTTAAAATTTCTTAAAAAAATCTCAGTGAGCTTGCTTACACCAGAACAACGACTAGTTGAATATTACTCTTGTACAGTGTTACTTTTTTTAGCAATCCCCTTTATTCATCAGCATAATTCCTAACCAGTCCAAACTAAACTGTCTGAAAGACAAGAAAAAATTATTAAGACCATGGGACAAGGAAAGTTATCAGTAACAGAAAGAAATTGTCATATAATGGGTTTTTGGTACAGTACTTGACACTCAAAATGTTACAGAACAGACCAAGGACTACAAACACATTTAAGCATAAAATCTATATTATTCCATAGTTGAAAGTGCAATTCTTTTGTCTTCCATTATGAGAAACAGATATAACCTTACACCAAAGTGAAAAAAAATTCACAATACCTTGAAAACTGTCTGTGACGTGGTAACTTTTTATTATTTTCCTGGTCTTTTAGCCTTCCTTATAGGAACCTTTCTGGCTGTGCAGACTACTGTCCTTGTGCCAATTTTTCCTGCCTTTTTATTACTACACTTGATAAAGATTATGGACACCTCTAGGAGGCAGATTATGGACAGTTATAGCAAGTCAGTGGGCATGGGAATTTAAGAGAATGTTTCTTTACTTGCTACAGATTGATCTTTCTCAGGTTGTCTTTTTTGTTTGTTTGTTTGTTTGTTTTGAGATAATATAAATGAAACAGTATGTATGTTTAAAATAGCCAGCAATAAGTTAAGCAGGTGTGACATCTACAAGATTGAAACAGTGAAAAATTAATTTTCAGGTGGAGAACTTCTCTTTAGTAGATAAACAGAAGTTTTCAAAGCCACTCTCCAAAATCTCTTATTTTCCTAACATCCTTTGCACAGTATATAATTTTGTTTACCTCGATGACTCTTTCCTTGTATACTATAGGTTTGGTTCCAGAATCGAAGAGCAAAATGGCGAAAAAGAGAACGCTATGGTCAGATCCAGCAAGCCAAGAGCCACTTTGCTGCCACCTATGATATATCTGTTCTGCCAAGGACTGACAGCTACCCTCAGGTATGGTAAAGACCTAGCAGTACTTGGTTCTACATTTGGCAGCCTTCCTAACAACTCTGGTTTTGTATGCTTTGCTAAGATGAAGTATAAACTACCTGATCTCTAGACAGCTTCTTTTTGATGTTTTAAACATGCACCATTTCCTTATGGACCTCAACTGACCATTAAATAGAACAAGTCTCCTACTAGCATGAAATCGTAATATAGCCATGCAGAATCAGAACTGAATGTATATCACTGGGGGAGAGAGGCAGAGGGACAGGACAGCTCTCTCAGACCATTGCAGCTGGTTTAATTTGTTTTATTTTTTTTTCCTTTTTCAGTTTCCTGCTAGTAAATAGTAAGACATACTGCATAATAAGGTTGTAATCTTCTGTCTCTCTTCTCCAGTCCTTCGTCTTACTGCTTTGCCTCACTCTGCTTTTGTTTGTCTTCTTGCTTGTTTTAGCACATTGAATATTTTTATTTTGGAGCCATTTTTTATTCATGTCTCTGGCTTCACTTTGCTTTTACCACATAATTAATAAAAAAAAAAAAAAAGCACCATGCAAAGCAAGAAATCTTTTATGGTTCCCTTCCACTACTGGTGTTTTGGCGCTCTTCAGCTTCATTAAGTAGCGGGGTCTCTGCCAGCCTTTAGAAAATACTCATATTCTATGTGAGCTTGCTTTGGTCATCCTCTAAATTGGCTGAATGAAGAGTTCCTCAGGGTCGGGGAAGAATGGCAGGAAATTGACTCAACAGAGAAAAGGCTGTGGGTGCTGGTTGACAGCAGCTGAACATGAGCCAGCGTGTGCCCAGGTGGCCAAGAAGCCCAGTGGCATCCTGGCCTGGATCAGCAATAGTGTGGCCAGCAGGAGCAGGGCAGGGATTGTGTCCCTGTGCTTGGCACTGGTGAGGCTGCACCTCAAATTCTGTGTCCCGTTCTGGGCCTCTCACTGTGAGAATGACATTGAGGGGCTGGAGAATGTTCAGAGAAGAGCAATGGAACTGGGGAGGGGTCTGGAGCACAAGTCCTGTGAGGAGCAGCTGAGGGAGCTGGGCTTTTTTGCCTGGAGAAAAGGAGTTGCAGGGGAGACCTTATCACTCTCTACTGCATGAAATCACTCTCAACTGCATGAAATGAGATTGTAGCAAGACGGGCCTTGGTCTCTTCTCCTAGGGAACAAGTGAGAGGTTAAGAGGACATGACCTCAAGCTGAGCTGGGGAGGTTCAGATCAGACATCAGGAAGAATTTTTTCTCTGAAATGGTGGTTGAGTGCTGAAGTCACCATCCCTCGAAGAGTTCAAGAATTGACTGGCAATTAGGGCTATTATTTAGTTGGCATGGCAGTGTTTGGTCAAATGTTGGACCTGCTGATCTTGGAGGCCTTTTCAAACCTTAATGATTCTATGGTTCTATGAATGTGATTAGCTATGATCCAGGGGTCTTTGGCTCATATGTCACCTACTCAGTTTAATGTGCTTTACCTCTGAAGAGGTTGCATATTACTAGGTTTGGTGCCTGGGCCAGAGCTGCCCTGTGCTCCAGCAGCTCAGAACATGAACACAACCATTTCAGCTGTGGTGGCACTTGTAAGTCGTCTGGTTTTATTTTAAAATGTAGCAGGGCAATAACCCAAATTGCATTAGCAACCACTGCATGGGTCTGTGTTTAGGTAGGTGGACACAATCTTAGGGACCCCCAGGTAGATTCACAAAGACATAGATTTGCATTCACTCACAGATATCATTCAAGGTGGTCAACTTTCCTTTCAAGGTCTTTCTGACTTACCTACAGCATCAGCAAGTGATACAAGGAACAGTGCTGAAGCTTTGGGATTTCTACAAGAAATTTGTGTCTGCTAGTTTATCTTGTATTTTTAGTAGGATACCATCTACACATTTTCCTAAATGACCAAATTCCATTAGTATAAGATAATGGAATAATATGTCATTGGTAAGCACTTAAAATGATTGCCCTAAAATTAATGTTTTTCAATAATCCCACATTTTTAACTATATGGTAATATGAACTATAAAATTCTAACCCAATAAAATATCTATTCTGTACTTTCAGATTGTTAAAAAGATTAATTCTCTGCATTTCTGTTTATATTTTTGTCAAAAAATATCTGCTAGACAGATGACACAACTGTGCTTCAGCCTGACAAATATTTCCATCACGAATTAATAGATTCTTAAAACCAGAAGATTGAAATGCAAATGCTGGTACTATCATCTTAGATCAAGCATCCTTAGTGTGTAGAAATACAAAATGTGTACTCATTCAAAAGCACAAATGCCATGTTCTCACCTGCAAGCACAGACTAACAGACTGCAGGTAAACAGAGAGGCACAAATGTGTAATTAGGTCTGGTCACCTACACGAGAATGCTGCCCTGTGCTGTTCTGTACTTCAATAACGGGAGCAAGGAGCTGAATGAAGGTGTGAGTGCACTTTGGCTGTTTCAGCTGAGGCCTTGTACACATAGCTTGGTTACATATTAAAAACAAGGTAGCCCTCTCCTCAGAGGAAAATTTGGCTATTTTTCTGTATATGAGTATGTATGCAGGCTATTATCACAGAACATTTAATAAAAATTAATATTCTTGCTAACCTGGTGGTAATTCATAGTTTTCACATTCTGAAATCCCATCCTTCAGTAAAACCACATCTCTATCATGCATTTAACATTTCCAGTGAGAATGACTGAGACAACGAAAATCTGTTTTAAAAACATAATGACTACTAAATCTCCATTATTAAGTGCTTCACTTATGGAAAATAAATATACAGCTCCTGACTTGCTATAAATTCATCAATTTATCCCACAACTCAGGCAGAAAAGGTATTTAAAATGATTTCATTTTAATGTTATAAATTGATTTCCCCAACAATTCCTTTATTTCATTGTAGTTAATGTAAGAGAGGAAAACAAATGTAGTTTTTTTCCTTTACTTTTATTCTCATATCACCACCATCACAGGCACTTGTGACAATGAAATAGGCAAATATTAGACAAGTTTTGCCATACTTTTAAATAAATAATTTTTAAATGTACTTTTAAATAAGTAATTTTTTTTCTTGTGGATTATGGAACACAGATCGCTAGAGTCTATTTAAGAAACAACACGGAGAAAAACAGACTCCCTGTTGCTGGAAGAAAATATAGTTTGAATATTGAAAAAGGATGAAATCAAGCTGAGAAGTTTACAGCTTTATGGCAGAAAGAGCAGGAACAAATATGAATTTCTGGTGTGCATTTAAGGATTTGCAGCCTGCAGATTTTCTGTTTTGAGTCCAGCCATGGATATGTTGAGAAAACACATTTCGGTTGTGTTCCAGCAGAAGCATCGGTCTCTTGTAGTCAACAGAGGGTGTTGTGGAGACTTCTGCTTAGTCTCTTCACCAATTATCTTCATCAAATACAAATAAAGAACATAATGCTGCTGTGCATTGTGTGACTTCATAAACCTGAAAGATTTCTCCTGTGAGAAAATGAATCTTTCAACTCATTTTAGAGAGAAGGTTGTTCTGAATCAGAGAAAAATTGAGGTTGGAAGTGATTTCTGAAGGTGATCTGGTCCGACACCCGTCTCTATAATCCAGTCTAATTTTGCTATTAATTTCCACATCCTTATCTTCACAATAATAACAATTTAGATTTTTTTTTTTTTGGTAGATCATAATTCTTTGCTTTGGTCTTTCAGTCTAATTTTAATTATTTTTACAATATATTGACTTTAGATTTATTTGTTTGTTTGTTTGTTTGGGTTTTTTTAGTCACCTATCTGAAAAATTGAATATCTCCTGAATTAAACCTGCCAAGAAATTGAATATCTCCTAAACTGGCCAAATTCTGCATGCATATATCTTGCATTAATGATACAACCAAAACCTGGGTTACAGAGAAGGGCAGTTTGTACAATATTCTAGAAAAATCATCTGTTATTCAGATTTTTTTTTTCAAAGCTCTAACAACATTATGCTGAAAATCAGACTTTTCTAGGAAAATTTTATGGACAGTGATTTTCATTAATTTTAGTAAAAGTTTTCAGTTTCATTACTTTCAATGTTTGAACTTCAATGTTTTCTTGCAGATACAACTCATTGTGGTCTAAGTAATCTTAAGCACACTCAGGAAAACACATATGCTAGACATTTTTAGCTTAACTAGCAATATGCCACTGGTGATATGAAAGTGAAGATGGAACACCTTAACATCAGTGGGGAAGTGAATGAAGATTCCCTTCATGGGGAAGTTTACTTCATGTCACCAGAGTGAATGTTAGTATACAAGCCATACTTAATCTGGTTACTTAAATACAGTGTAGAGTCTTATTAAATATGGTCTCAGAATATCTGAGACACTGTTGAAGTGTTGATGAACAGGATTTAAAAAAGGATCCATCCTTCATTTTAGGCAGCCATGGTCAGATAAGTATTAGACGTTTGTGTTTAGGAAACTTAACCAAAGGGACTTTATGCCAGACACGGATTCCCTTTACAGCTGTCAAAAATTGGATCAATTAAAATTTTTATTCCTCAAACATAAAGTGTAAAATAGGTAAGATGATCCACCAGCATTTTTTTATTCTGATACCTGGTTCAGCTGCAGTCATCTGTAGTTATCTACACAGATGTATAGATACGTTGGAAGAGGAACAATAGAAAAGCCTCTTTAGCTTTATTCTTCTCTTGCCTTATTGGTCTTTATTTGACTCCCTCTGCCACCCTATGTTAGTGGGAAGGCTCTTGTTACAAAGGTACTTGATCTCATCAGATTCAATGATTACCTATGAGAAATAAGACAAAATTTCATTTTAACCCCCTTTATTTACACATACAAGAGCCTATACTATTATCACACAGACTCCCTGCCTTTCCTGTGTGAATCAAATTGATAATGATGTTGTCTTTATAAATAAGTGCATCAGTATGTAAATAAACATTAAATTGTATCATTGAAAAGCAGATAAAAAAGGTCAATATTTTTCTCCCACTTAGACTTTTTCT